GTATTATCCACATTTTCCAGATGAGGGAACCTTCTCCAGTCACAAAGTTAGTAAGTCAGACATCTGAGAAGTTTATTCACATGGGTGAACATATGCATGCAAAAATTCAATTCGTAATGGCCTGTAGACAGATGTGTACAATGGCTCATCTGCACGCGGAGGATCAGCCTGTGTCCTGCCTTAGAAACCTCTCTGCCAAAAGTCCCGTGGACACTGAGCAGGAGCCCGGATTTCCTTTAACGTGTCGTGGAGGTGCATCTTAGTTCTCAAACATGATACTGAAACATGGATTCCATGCTCCCACCCCAGACTTTTGAATTAGAATTTCTGCGAGTGAGACCTGGAATTTGTCTCTCTTAAACAAACAAACAACCCTCAAGTGCTTCATGTCTATTCTGAGTATGGAACCCTGAGTCTCGCTGCTCCTGGTTGGGAGCTGGTGAGTTTGGGAGTTTGGGTCTCACTGATGCTCCATGAAGAGGGGAGACAAAGAGGCTGCATGGCCAGAGCAGACGTGTTCTCGGCTGTAGTTTCTGTTCTAGTTTCCTTTCCCCGGAGAAGAGGCCCCAGCCCTGATCACCGTTTTCTGCTCCACTTCCTAATGAGTCCCTTCCCATGTGTGAAAAAAAAATTTTTTTTAAGTTTTCTGGGGAAAATGTATGTGCTATTTCTACCTAAAAAATCTTACAACTTGACTTTACCTCCTCTGAATCAATTCTAGAGTGTGTATGCCATAAATAAATTGTTCTACCTCAGAAATTTGAAAACAAAGACTGTGTACAATTTAAAGAGAGAGAGAGAAATTCTGCAAATTCATGACATGATTGTGTTGTATTTCTAGTAATCATGTAACACCCAACGCAGAGTACAATTAGTAGCCCTTATTTTGAATTCGATTCTAAGAAGTAATATGATTAGACCCTGTTAGGGGAAAAGCTGAAGCGCTAATCCAATCACTCAGCTGATCTTCATTGCTGTGAATGTAATGCCTCTCTACTTCCTTTGTAGGCATGAGGAGGTTAAATAATATCTATATTTCCGTGTTCGGTAACACTAGGGCTGCTCCGTGAGTGAGGTTCTTCTGCCACTTGGTGGTGCTTGCCAGTTTCAGATGGTGTTTCTCGGTGGCACTGTAACCTCCACAGAGCGAGCCGCACACAATCACAGCCTTCCTGTTGGAAGGGCTCTGCTCCCCGCTGTTTAATAATTTAAAGAACCTGTGGAAGCCACTGCATTTGCTAACCAGTCACAACTGGTAATTAACTCCTTTGGAGTTTTAAGTTACTTTGGGCACGGCGTCTGAGGAGGAGCACATATTACTAGAAAGCATGCCAACAGTTTACTTTGCAGAGAATTCAATAACAGTTCACTCTGCGGAGAGGCTCTGTAAAATGCTTCTGATACAGCCGAGGGCTGACATCGAGCAGGTCCTGTTTCCTTATCATGATGGCTGCATGCACGTGTTTAAGGACTTTGCCTCTAGTTTCAAGCACCACATGTTTTTCATAAGCCTGATTAGCTACCACCCCAGCCCGGCCCTGGGAAGGGCATGTTCTCACTCTGAGCCCAGGAGTTGTTGAATCTTGAGCTGCCTTAACCTTAGACTTAGGTTGCTCTCTCTGCTGACAGGGGGCAGGGGAAGGCATCTCTGATTCTTTTCTTTTCTTCTTTTCTTCCCTTTTCTTCTCTTCTTTCTTCTTTCTTTCTTTCTTTTCTTCCTTTCCTTCCTCCCTCCCTCCCTCCCTCCCTCCCTTCCTTCCTTCCTTTCCAATATCGGCCGGCAGCTCTCTCTAATGGGCATCCCGTTTCCTTACAGAATTCAGCTGCGCTGTCTGGGAGCCCATTTTCTGATGCCTCCCATGTCTGGTCAGATTGATCTGTTTTAATGGAGCCTCCGTGGGTGAGGAGCGGCCAGCAGGCCTGGAAGGCTGGGACCTGCTGCTTAATTGCCAGGAGTGCGAGGCTCTGAGATGCAGAAATCTGTGCAGGAGGGCGTGGGGTGGGGCGAGCTCCGGCGGAGGAGGCGATGCAAGATAAAGGAACGGGTTTCACACACGGAAAAAAAAGCCATTTCTCGGAGGCACTGAGGTATATACTGCAGGATCATCGCATCTCTCCGAGGAGAACTTAGAAAGCACGGAAGTGGGAGGAGGTCGGAGGTTAAAGTACTTGAAAGGATGGCTGGGTGCAGTGTGTTCGTGTGTGTGTGTGTGTGTGTGTGTGTGTGTGTGTGTGTGAGAGAGAGACCTGGCGGCCCTGCAAAGGGGAGAGAGTTCCCGCTTTCAAAGTGCAGCGGTGCCTCTTTGAAGTGATTGGTGATGGACGCAGGCTGCCCAGATGTCATCAGACATGCTCCTCCACATGCAGGGGACGCCGATGGAGAGGGAGAAAGGCTAGATTTAAAATAAGAGGGGAAAGGAAGAGATGAGGGCTCAGGGAGGAAGGGAGGAAGGAAGGGAGGAAGGAGAGAGGGAGGGAGGGAGAGAGGAAGGAGGGAAGGAAGGAGGAAGGAAGAGCGAAAGGAGAGAAGGGGATAGCGGGAGGGAAGGATGGAGAGAAGAATAGAGAGGGAGGGTGCAGAGAGAGAAGGAAAAAAGCCCTGAATCACACATTAAACACTGGATGATCACACAGAACAGAAACCTCATCCACCCCGCACTGCAATGCCGGCCCGGGCCGGAGGGAAGCCCTCTCCGCCGAGT